CCCCCCCCCCCCCCCCCCCCCCCCCCCCCCCCAATGGGTCATATATGACCCATTTGTAGAACGATCACAGAAAATAAAGGAAGCATGAGACTGAAAAACTCCCGAGACATTATTTGTAGGTAACCTCACAAGCTATCTATTAATAAAAAGATATTTTGTTTTATTGGTCTGCCTTTGAGATATGTGAGTTAGAAAATCGATAATTTTGCAAAAAATACAAAAATTCGAAATTTTTCAAACAAAATGTTCTCTACTTGCAGTCGGTAGAGGTCTTTTGGAATTTCTGCGTGATATTAATCGATGAATAAGTCCACTGCTGAATTAGATGTGTTTCGAAAGCTTCATGATAACTCCGCGAATTACACATACTAAGGAACATCATTGACCATGTAGTCACTGTTAGACAGATGGAGGGTAATCAAGAACAAAGTTAATATAAGCGTTATAGACTTCAACTCATGCGAAGTCGAAATAGTATCTATGATGAATTAAATTCCTTCATACGTTACAAAATGCCTTAGAGCAAAATAGGCTTAAATTTGACAAAATGTGTAAAAAAAGCATGTATTCTTTGATGTTAATTTTTACTGGTTCACTCGTTACGTTTTTCCTATTACTTCAACAGTACGAGATAGATGCTGCTTCTATCCAGTCAATAATGTGGTCAAAGAAAAAAAAATTAAGTCTTATGATGTCGTTCAATTCCCATTTCCCACCACATGATTTTTACATCAATCAAACCGCCCTACTCCAGGAACAAGACATTTGGTGGTTTAGGCCACACCATTGGCATATTCGATAGGTTAATACTCTATTTATAAAGTTATTTTATCAGTGACTCTTCTGGAACAGCTATGGGGAGGGGGTAAAGGGTTAATCAAAGAATTAAAGCTCAATATAGAGAGGTATCGAGATTGAAGACTCCCTAACAAACATGGAAAGTTTTCTCTAAGAAAAATTTCCGAGACTCTACGAGATTTTTACCTAGAGTTGCTCGGCTTGACTTAATTTATGTGTATACAACTGGACAGATTGATTACGAAAGTAAAAGGTCGATTCTCGGTTAGTCTTCCTCAAAATTTTGTTTTTTTCAAGTTTTCAACTCAGACTGGCAGAGATTCGACCCTTTATTTTCGTAACCGATCTGCCACGTTGTATGCACATACAAATTAAGTCAAGGTAAGCACCTCTAGATAAAAAATCGTAGAGTCTCGGAAATTTTTCTTAGAGAAAACTTTCCATGTATGTTAAGGAGTCTTCAGTCTCGGAACGTCCCTCGCTCTGTAAAATATAGCAGCATGTGAAAACTTATCTATTCGAGATAGACAACTGTACTCTAAGTTGCCCAGACTGCAGATTCAAACATTTGTTCTGACTAATTTTCGTTGGAGTTCTCTATCCTAGCATGATATTTCGGTTCCATTTGTAAATTATCGAATGGCAAACTACCTTACGGGAGCTACCTCTCCACAATGTTAATTTCTGTCAGTTCTTGATCTATCAATGTAGCTTACAGAGAAATGAGCCTCAACTTTGGGTTCCTCCTACTGAAAACCAATGTTTGACTACGGTAGAACATCGAACAACCGCCTCCTCAGTTGATAAATGTGATATCGATATACCATCGATCAGATTTTGAGTAGACTAATCAAAAATATCCACTTTTCAAGCTATCTTCTCAGAATTGAGAATAATTTTATGTGACTATTTAACAATCTGAATCATAGAAACATGCTTTTGATCATATCGACAAAAAATAAATAGCTAAATACAAGGAAGAAGCTGGATATAAATGGCATTATATTTTAAGACCAGTAGTTGAATAAATTGATGTAGCAGAAGTAAAACAGCAACTCATGCTACATACCCAAACCCAAACTCAAACCCAAACCCAAACCCAAACTCAAATACCCAAACCCAAACCCAAACCCAAACTCAATACCCAAACCCAAACCCAAATCCAAACTCATAAACCCAAACCCAAACCCAAACCCAAACTCAATACCCAAACTCAATACCCAAACTCACCAAACCCAAACGGTTTGGGTTTGTTGCATGCCTACTTTCAGTGCTTATTGACACTGAACCTATCGGTATGCGCTGACCATCACTCTCGGTGACAAAATTGTCGGCTTTTTTTGGTGATCTCACCGACACTGCAAATACCTGATTCTGCATCATCATATAAATTAAGTAAATTTCGGATTAATATATTTATTATAATTAATAATTAATAAAATTCGTGACTAAGATACAAATACGTTACGTAATTAATTAATTATTAGCAATAGAGCGATTTGTACAAAGTATTGTGGTCTAATTCCTGATATCTAACGAGTGTCACGCATGTAGTAAACAGAAGGAAATACTATAAAATGGTAGATAGATGAGACAACTGTTGCATCTTTACGATTGTCTTAAATTTCAATCAGAAAAAATCTCCATCGAGAAATGCAACATATTCAATATCGTTCCTAGAGTGTTGAAAACTACTTTACAGAGTGATAACAATGTAGGAAAGTAAGGAGTTGCAGGCTAGTAAACCATACTTTTATATACCACATATCTGTATGTCTCCTACATGTATCTACACTACTTTAGTATCACCCAGTTCTTGTATACGTGACAACTCTCTAACGTTCTCTTCGTACGTATGATTCAATTCACTCTTAATATGTATAATAAGAAGGATCCCATTATGTACAATGTTACATTTCGTGTTAGAAAATTTCCATTTGAGGTTTGTCTTTTCACGTTCGCACTTTTTGTAGAAAATCCACAAGAAGGAACTAATAGAAGAATTGTATCGCATGACGTTGTCTGGATTTCTCCATTCCTACATAAATACATAACAGTAACGGTTATGATAGAATCAGAACCTAGCATAACTGTTAAATCGTATTTCCGAAGTTCTGAATGTTCATCAGCTAACTGGACATCAAGTCGATTTAGCAAAGATTCAGCAGTTTCTGTTACTGTAGAGAATAAACGGACGCTCACTTGATATTCTGCAACATTACGAACATGTCGCCTCTTTAATGAAATCAAGAAAATATGTATTTGATTACTGGGTACGTTAAGAGCCGTAGTGAAAATCCACTGAAGATTCTTAATAAACTCCTCCGCCGATAATATAACCACTATTACGGGAATACGCATCCTAACTTCAATAAATTGATTTGAAACAACTGAAACTGTATGTGTTGTGAAAACTGAAGGAACAGTGAAAAACACGGAAGTTCTTTGCAAAGTAGACGTAGGATTCATGGATGGCATTGTAGAAGTCGCTACAACGTTCGATGTCGTGTCTCGAGAGGGGCTTGTAGAGATGAACACCGGCATGGATGTCGTCCTTTCATTTGTAGCTGACGATTGAGATAACATTTCGGTAATTGACGTAGTTATTGGCTGTGACGATGCTTCGATAGTTGGTGTTGGGGTTGGTTGAGATGACTCATCAGTAGTTATTGTGGTCCTCGATGCAGATGACAAATCGATATTTGTTGTTGCGGTGGATTGGAATGATGTATCAATAGTTGGTGTTATCGTCAATTGAGATGACAAATCGGGAGTTGTTGTTGTCATAGGTTGAGATGATTCATCAGTAGATATTGTGGTCGTCGATTCAGATGACAAATGGGTAGTTGTTGTTGTCGTCGGTTGAGATGATTCATCAGTAATTGTTCTGATCCTTGATGCAGATGATAAATCGATATTTGTTGTTGTGGTGGATTGGAATGATGTATTAATAGTTGGTGTTATCGTCAATTGAGATGACAAATCGGGAGTTGTTGTTGTCATAGGTTGAGATGATTCATCAGTAGATATTGTGGTCGTCGATTCAGATGACAAATGTATAGTTGTTGTTGTCGTCGGTTGAGATGATTCATCAGTAGTTGTTCTGATCCTTGATGCAGATGATAAATCGATATTTGTTGTTGTGGTGGATTGGAATGATGTATTAATAGTTGGTGTTATCGTCAATTGAGATGACAAATCGGCAGTTGTTGTTGTCATGGGTTGAGATGATTTATCAGTAGATATTGTGGTTGTCGATTCAGATGACACATCGGTAGTTGTTGTTGTCGTCAGCTGGGATGATTCATGAGCAGTTGCTGTAGTTGATGATTCAGAAGAAGAATCTGTAGTTGATGTTGTGTTAAATTGGAACGATGTGTCGGTAACTGACTTGGTTGTCGACTGGGATGATGCATTAATAGCTGTAGTTGGCGTTGATTGAAGTAGTGAATTAGTAGTTATTGTAATGGTTGATGTCTCTGTTGAGCTGGTATCAGGTATTTGTGCTGTTGTATTGGTTTCTGTAACTGTATTAGCTACTAAAAGCAATTCGTAAGTTGATATGGTGGAAAACGAACGATCAAAAATATGGATAAGATCTTCTATTACATCTTCTGCCAGCAGTAAGTGATCGACACTATGTGTAAGCCATGTGTTGTCTTTTATGGTAAAGTTGTCTGTCATGCGTTTAGCAGAAATTATGCTAAAGAGAGGATAAGAGTTATTTACTTTTATATGGATATAAGAATTATTTGGTGTAATCGCTGTAATTATTACTCTTTGAGTCACACTGTCAAGCGATTGGTACTGGGCTGTGCCATTTAAGGAAACGACCTGATACGAGAGTGTAGCGTTAGTGCTTGAATACACAGACTCGAATCCTTCACCTTGATTGACGAGGTAGTCCATTCGACTGTCATTGAGATCTTTATCCAGAATGTCGAGAAAGACGACATGTTTTAGACGGTATGTTTCGAGCGAATTCAATAGAGACAACTTTGAATCGCCATTTGGATTTGTTTGTGTGTAGGATGCATTGAATTTTCTAAAGTAACCATTGAGAGTTGTAATAAGTGTCCATATTACTGTGGTAGAGGAGAATGGTGACAGATCCCCTAGTGCTGCTGACAGTTTTTTTTCTGTCTGATCTGTTTCATTCACATTGATTCCAACAATCGTAAAATTAATCAATAAACCCTTTTCATTGTCGATAACTTCTGGTTGCGCAGTTTCTATGCGAAAGTTATTTGCTGAGCCATAACCACTGTTCGTGATTACGACAGCAAGAATGAATGGCTTTGGAGGTATCCATTGACTTGAAAACGGATCAGGTCCTACGATATATTCTTCAAGAAAGTATGCAATGTCGAGGCGAGCTTCTGGATTCACTTGAATTTTGTCAGGTATAAGCGTAATATTCACGAGTTGTCCATCAATGGTATACGAGAGTTGTCCACCAACAGAATACCACGTTGAAGTAATAGGAGCCGCGGATGAATAAGGAATAATGAACCAATTGAATTGTCCGCTACTCTTCGGAGATAAGTCCTTATTGTGTATGTCACCTGTAATATTTGGTCGTCCTATGCTAAATCGATCAGTTGCATTGGATTTATCATCAGTTTGAACATATATGTTGACTTGAATATCCTGCAAGATTTCTTCACCATTGTTATCAATTACTAATTCTGCGTCAAACCCTTGTCGAGTGATGGTTACATTTTGTACGATACGAATAGTCACCACTGCACATGTTCCTGCTGGGGAATCTCTGTGTGCATCTAGATACTGCTGAGAAATGCCGATGTATGCATCGAGTAAACTCAAATAGCCAAGCTCATGAATATGATCTAGATCTGCGAAATATTGAGAACTTCGGTTAGAAAATACTGATAAACTCATAAATGAGAGACGTGTGTCGCTCAAACGACTTGGTTCAGTTATATTAATCGAATAAAAATATCGCGTTCTATTGTAATACAATAAGTAATCTGACAATAGGCTTTGGTTCGCACATGCATGTGGAAATACCATCAATTGATCATATTCTTCAGTACTAATAAGATAATTTAAATCACTATTTGGTGCTTGCGTACTAATCAGTGCATCTTCCCAATTTCTGTCTGTACAATTTATATAAAGCCAGTCACTGTTACCATATATCAAGCTTATAATATTTTTATAATTATTCGCTGCTTGCACAATAAAGCTTAACCGTTCTAGTGCAATGTCAGCATTTTCATTCCATGAATTTCTTTTCTTTCTGGACAATAACGAGGATGTTACGAACCCCAAACAAAATGCAACATTGTTGTCTACACCGTCATCGACTTCGGTTGCATGTTTGAACACAGAGCGCATCGTTTTTGAGAACAAAATCGATCTCTTTCCACATTCCATAGCATCATGAAGCCCTTCTCGCATAGCACTAGTCACTTTCATTACGGCAAGAATAGGATCTTGCTCAGCAACCACATCAGCAATATTTTTCGCCATGGACCACAAAACCCCTCCTAGAATATAGTCAACGGAATGGAACGGTTATACTAATCTTACCTTTACAGTAATCTATCTATCCCATCAACACTTACCGCACTTATCAATTACATTCAGAACCACTCGCCAACCAATAGGAAGCCGCTGAATCAAGAGATCAGCGGCTGCACTAGCTAAAGTTCCTACACAACTCTCGCATGTTGGAACAGGCAACAATGGAGCAATTACTGGATCTATCGTTGTTCCAAGAATCTGGAGCATCTCAGAAAAGTCACCGGAGGATCCAAATCCGAAACTTCCTGTGCCGCCTCCCCCAGCTGGCACTGAGCTGCCCCAACTTGCAGTTCCACCACTTTCAGCACCACCGCCAATACCAGATGTAAGATAAGAGGCGACAGTCGAATCTATTATTTCGTTTACAAAAATAGGTAAATTTGCTCCGATTGTGCATTCACCCCCACATACGTACCGACCTAAATACTCCCCAGCCATTACAATCAAACTAGCGCGCCTCATTCGAGTGACATTAAGGCGCCGTACATCAACAGCAACAATGATTGAAGAGTTGGCTTCAATGTCGCCAATAGGCAATTGTCTGACAGTGAATCTTAGATAAGGATGCTCATTTGGCAATTTGAGTTGCAGATTTGTCAATCTGATAAGACCATAATTCGTGAAAGTAAAATCAATTTGATTTATGTTTTCGTTAGTTTCTAGTTTCACAAGATGTACCGTAGTGGGTGAAATTACCAGAACAGGAGCATCCACATAAGGAACGAATTGAGCATCGAGCTCTATTTTATATGTCTGTTCAAACGGAATTCGGGTAACTTTGAATGTATATGAGACAAGAGTACGTTGAAGAAAAATAATCAATGAATAAGATGAAGCTGTCACCCTATCAATTTTTATAACATTCGCGTAGCTCGTGTGTTTCAATGCTTGAGCTGTTACTTCATAAAAGCCAGCCACAAGCGATATTGATGCTTGTCCTGTTGCATTGCTTTTTAAAACATGTTTGATGTTGAGTTGAGCATTACTGATTGTAATTGTTACATTTGCTAAATTCGTTGGATTACTCCCAAAGTACGAGAACTCATCTTGACACACTATATTCAAATCGAATAAAGTATTATTATTTCCCACAATATTAATTTGAATATCAAATGGTTGGGAAAGAGAACGAGTTCGATCGAAAATCATTCCTCGTATTGTAAATGTAGTTAATGGAGCAAGCTCTGGTATTATAATGCCAAAAGTGAAATCTGCATTTTCTGATACATTTAAGATGGAGATCTCGGAGGTTATCACGAAAACGTAAGTTTGATTCGGTAGGACAGCAGTCAAAGGTCCCAACACAAATGATCCTGTATTATAGATTTTGATGACGAGATTTTCTTGAGATTTGCGAGGGATAATCAATTTCGATGACGATGGATTTAGTTTGAATTCAGCTGCGCCAAATATTACTTTTACTGACAATGAAATAGTCACAGGTTGTATACCATTAGCAGACCATCCGAAAGAGAGAGTGCCAGAGCCAGTCTGATTGAACCGAACCTTGATATCGATAGCACAAGTTGTGAAAGGAGGCATATTCATCAAACTACAGTTCGATGATGATGCATCAAAAAGTGGTAAAACTGCTACGGGACTAATTAAAAATAGGGTTAAATTGTCGATAGAATATTCGCATGGATTCGAGAGAAGAGCAACAGATACAAATGAAGTAGTGGAATTTTCTTCTATTCTAACATTCAATGTGTCAGATAAAAGTACTTGAGTACTCAAACCGAGTAGAGTAAGATAATCTTGAGGTTCACTCTCTGATTGAAAAGCAGGATGCTCAGCACCTAGAAAAAGCGTCCCAAATTCGTTTGTTTGAGGTGTATAGTAAACAGTAAATCGATTCGAACCACCAGGAACAGTGATGTTCGGAAGGTATCGTCGAATGTTGTTAAGTAGAACCCATACTTTTACATTTCGGTCATTCATAATGTTAGTTGAATTACTAATGATTTGTCCATCGATTTGCAACTTTGCCTTTGTTCTCAGAATCTGATGTGTTTTTTGAAACTGTACTGTTACATTGTAGCTCAGTGGCACGCTGATAAAAAATGTTTGTGCAGCAATGATACCAGTCGAGCTTTGGCGCACATTTACTATCATGCTGTACATTGTAGATAAAGCAACTGCGGATGACCATGACAATAATCCAGAATATGGAGTAATAGAGAGTCCTGAAGGTATAGTACCACTAAGACTCCATTCAAGTGGAAATTCGCCCTGAGTTAGATATTGAGAAAGATTGAAAGTAAACGAAGACATTTCGATTGCTGTCATATTGTGTATTGTAGTCAAAACTGGTGGAATAGGATATAGAGAACAATCTGAGCCAAAATGTGGATACCAGCATTGGCAAGTATTTGAAATACAAAGTCCTTGATTGCAGCCTGTATCGGGGCAACTGGACAAGTATTGAAAAACAAGTTTCGATTCCGAAAAAACAATGGATTCATTCATAATAAGTTGTACTTCAATCAGTTCAGCCCGATGAGATGGGAACTGGCATGTTATCTTTCCAGTATTAATGTAAACGGCTGGGATTGATATTGTATCATTTTGGTCAATAATAAGACAAAATAATGATACATTATTAAAGTTATCACCGACCAGTGTCACAAGTGTTTCATTTGTCAATTCAGAACTAGATCTTGGAAACAATGAGGAAAGGACTGGCATATTGGTACAGTTGTCACCATAATAGCCTTCTCTACAATATTGGCATAATGTACCATAAATGCGAGTATTGTCTATACAATCACAAATAGCAACTGAACTATTGCATATCGTTTGTCCTCGTACACAAGTTGGACATATGATACAACTCGGATACGCATATCGATCAGAAATACATTGTTCACACGAATATCCTGAATATGAATCTGCGCAAAAACATGTTTCATTATTAATACATGATCCATGATTGCTACATCCATTTTGAGTACGACAGCTCCATTGGCTGTCAATGATAAATCCTGCTGATGTTAATAACGATATTCGGGATTCACTTATAGAAAAGTTCATATATTGAGCTGATAGTGTGCAATTGAGTAGCATTGATAATGAAATTGTCATATTTGAGAATGCTGGTAGAACAGGAATTATTGTGGGCCAAGCAGAATAATTTTCAACGCATATTGTATCTTGTATTATATCAACCGTAATATTAATCAAGTCGAAATCACCTTGATTTTGAATGGTAGCAAAATCAGTGAAGTTTGTTACATATGCTGCATAGAATTGATAGCTCCATTTGGATAATGAAAGCTTAAGATATTCAATGAAAATTACATCTTGAGATTGCGGTGATGAAGTAACGGTCGGATGAGCTGCCGCAATATGTAATTGACCTCCAAATAAATTACTCCCTATTTGAAAGGATCCACTGAAACGACCATCGTGATCACTGTTCACTTGCATATACATATAATCATTTATCCAGATGGCTATGGGTACGTTAAACATTGTCGAATTTCCAGAATATTCGAATAAATGAATACTAGATGCCGAAAAATATTGATGAGAATTTTTCCAGGATACTGTTGCATTGTAAGAAGGAGCAACTCTAATGATTACAATCAAATCGACCGCTGACAAAATGTTTGATACTGAAATCGTGTAGTTGTAATAATATTCAGACGCTATTGCTTGTGTTATATTCAGTACGCCAGAGATTTCATTTAAAGAGAGACAATTATAGTAAAAATTGACTGAGTATACATCGTTAGTATCTGAGAATTGATATCGAAACGGAGGCGTTCCAGAGATAAGATATGAGGTTAGATTGATTAATGTCGAATTAAATTCATTTACAATAATAATTGGCAAGGAACTGAATACTGGTGGGGTAAACATCATTTCACAAGCTGCTCCATAATACGGAAATGTGCAAATACATTGACCGAATTGACAATACCCATGACCTTCACAATTCGTGAAATTCGGACATGTCCCATAAACCTACAAGGAAGGAAGCAAGAAGTATATCAAAACCATAATAGGATGAACCATTTCAAAGTATCTCAAGATTCGCCATTCACATATTTCACAAATGCGTTCACTGGTATATGTCACCGTGAACCCAGCAGGGAATCTGGTATGCATACTAGACAAGTGTTATTCGAGTAATTGTTTATCGCATGACGATAAAAGAATCGAACTTTTCTCGATTGTTAGTGAAATTTTTAGATGTTTAACTTTTTAACTAAATCACTTTTATGCGATTTCACAAGAAAGGTAATTTGAAGAATGTTAAAAACATCACCTATGTGAACGGATACTGCTCATCGCAGTATTCTACAAAAAAATGCCGATATTTATAGAGCTTTCACCGGACCACAGGACCTCTAGAAGCCGAAAAGATCTATAATCAAGTAGCTGTTCTGAAAATTTCCTGTTTTTATGTTCTGCTCTTAAATGATCCTGAGACTAAAATTCACTTACATTGCACCACCTCTGTCATATGCACCGTATGAGGCCTATGGTACCACCGATTATGATATTTCTAACAAAGGAAAGAACTATCTACATAAAGTATTTCTTTGTAGCTCGCTATGACGTGTCATGTTACATATAAGTATATGCTTTGTGTTGCGGTGAATCAGGTTATATCTGAAGGTATTCATCACGATTGACGGATAACTATTGGACATTGCATGTTCGACAATTTTGATCATTATAATACTTATCAATAAGTTTCTTAACAATTTTTCAAATTGATGACTGTTTTATTCAGGAAAACAATTAGAAAAGTCCATTGAAGAACTTAAATGTGAAATAAAGAGTATTGATCGTGTCTGCATCTCAGAATGTACTTTTTGTTGGTTGTTAAAAGTAGAACACCTGATGCCGGGAGGTGGCCACTCGATAAACCTTTCTATTGAAGATCACACAAAAGATCTCTGACCATCATTTCGACTCAACAGTTAATGCTTGAATCATCTTCTAACGTACATAACATGAATCTCATTCTTTTGCTGTCAGTTTTCCATGGTTTATGTGGATCGCTGAAGATTTCTATAGCGATCTTCCATGGTGTTTGCGACTATTTGGAGTAATCAATGGTAGGGAAGCGATCCATGATATCTTTCTCAAACATTCTAAAAATCCTTTCGGATCATGTGCTACAAAAACGTTTGCTATGTCTAGGGGTGGGGAGGTACCGTTCCCAAACTGCTATCCGGACAGGGTAACGGAAAAGTTACCATTACCTGAGTAACTGATAACGGAGGAGTTACCAGTTACTTTTTCCTGGTAACTGCTCAAAAAGATGAATTATCACTTCCATTCAACCAAATATCGTCAATACAACATTAAACAGAGTTTGGAGTTACCAGGTAACTGATAAAGGGCGAAAATGAATAAATAATACAATGAGGATGTTCGGTCGAACAGAAGTGATGATTCATCATTTTGAAAAGTTACCAGTTACCTGGGAACGGAACAGCAACCTCCCACCTTTAGCTATGTAATAGTACAGTTTTTCCAAATTGTTTGAAAAATTCCCACGACCCATATGTTGAAAAACCTAAAGATACATTTAGTAGTTCATTGTCAAAGAAATTTCCGTTGTATTTCATAATAAGCAGAGATTTCCAAAGGAAATTTGAGCTAAATGGAATCAGGAGTTTTAAAATTCATTTCCATCCTCCAATATTGAACTTCGTTAGCTACTTTATTTTCTCTATGAGAGAACAATTTTTCTGGGTAGAAAATGCATTTTGCTTCCATACAATGGATTATACGATTTGCTTCATCTCATATTTTATTAATGAAGCAACTTTTTCTCTGATGTAAGAAACAGCGTAAAAGAAAAATAAGTAACCTTGATGCCAAAAGTAATGAGCGACACGATCTTGAACAACGCACTATAAGACAGAAACTTGTATCACAAATAAGCTATCATGTTGGGCACAAAAGAAGAAATAAGTCATGGGGAAATCTCTCAAAAATGGACCTTCCAACGCTTTTCAATCTTCAGTATCCTCACATGCCACGAGTCTCTTTATTATGTAACCTAATTTTCTTAGCATCCCATAAATATGTGACACACTGCTAATTTGTGTAATTTCTAAGCTTAAAATACTATCCACAATGTCGCATACATGCAGTCCACATCCAAGACCTGTACGGACTGTAAGTGCTACTAGTTCTATTATACTTGCACCAAACATCCAAGTAGCGTCTGGGGGAGGGGGGGGGAGTGTAAAACAATTTACTCGGTTATCGACAAAACCAAAAATGCACAAGCAGCATATTACAAACAAAATCTTTCGCATTTCATCTACTAACTTCCCTTTCTCTACTAATGTACCGATAGCTGTACCTCACTTGCTGTGATAACAAACATCTATGGAAACATCAAACATAACCATAATAATCATATACGCTTAACTGAAACTAACTCAACATTGAGAAAAACCAAAGCGACCAACATCATCACATATACAAATGATTTCATTTAGCACAAAGTCTCACATTTCCTTGCGACTCACACTAAGTAATATTAAAACTCAAATCACACGAAAAATGACACTGAAACTACGACCTCCCGAAAATATTTCCTTATCAAAACGAACATACA